ATTGCGCAACTGGTTGATTTTTGCCAGTGTCATCAACCAACAGAGTTGAGTTCCGGGGTGCCTATCCAAGGAGGCGGAAGTTGTCGACCCGACTCAGTTTGCTAGTTAGTGGTCTCACATTTCGTTGTCAGGCCATACACTGTCCACATATCGGTCGCTTTCACTCAGCACCGAGTTATGCGAAAAGAGCTCTGCGAGGCAAGCGGTTCTCTGGCATTCGGAGTACAACAACAACAACAACAACAGCAACAACAACAACAATCCGATGTTCCCACCGGATCCGACCAATGCTTCGAAGATACCGATGCTTAAACAGTGATATCTTTCGTATGTCCTTTGCGGGTACATGCCATGTCTCTGATTCGTAATGGAGTACGCATCGCACTGTCGCAGTACAAACTCCAGCCCTGACAGACAAAATGGCGTCAAGTCGGCACCATAGGAGCCGGAGATTGACAAAAGCTGTCCCGGCCTTCCCGATCCGAGAAGTAACCTTATCTGCATCCAGTCCACCGGACCTTATGCAACCATCAGGTAAACAAATTTATCTACCATTTCGATTGGCTCATCTGCAAGGATGTGGTTTGGGTCTGATCCCACCCAGCACCGTAGAAGCAGTTTACACTTTGCAGGTGTGAAGCGCATGCCAAACCGTATGGTAAGGTTAGCTAGGTTGTTTAAAATGGTTCGTATTTCTGAAGGATCTGAACCAAGGAAAGCAATAGCGTCCGCATACTCAATGTCTGTGAACAAACGTCCAGGCAGCATTTAAATCCTCGATTTTTCAGAGGCAAGCAGAGAAGTATCAAGCAGTACATATATAACAAGTTTGAAGGGGAAAGGTGAGGGAGAGCCAACTTGTCTAACACCACTGCATGTGGTGAACTCAGGTGAAAGCATGTAGTATACTCGTACGAGCTCACAGGAGTTCACACAGTGTCCTCAAAGGTTACGAATTTGGGATGGATATCTTTGATTACCAGACAGCTAAGACGTTTCTGAGGACCAACAGTATCGAAAAAAGCTTTTTGATCAGGAAAAACAACCAACATAGGACGTTTGACGGAGTGGAGCTATTCAGCAATTTGTCTCACGGTAAAGATAGGATCAAAACACTTTCGGCCAGGGCGAAATCCAGCTTGATTCTCATGAATCTCTCTCCCAATAGTCGATTAACCAACGCCAGAGTGCATCTTAGACGCGATGGATACCAGACTGAGGCCACGATGGTTCTCGCATGACGTTCTTATGGCCTTTTTTGAAGATCACGGTCGAGGAGATCCATTCGACTGGTATTCTGTTTTCGTTCCAAATTTCAAGTATGTTGCTAGACCGTTCGCGACAGCACGGTACGTTGTTGTCTAGCGACAATGCACTAGGATTTCACTCCAAGAACCGGAAGTCGGTTGTGCGCTATCGAATAGTTCTCAGCAACCTTGTGAGTGGGAACCTTTATGAAAATATACTGCGGTGTCTCGAATATCGTATCAACTAAAACATGAAGCAACTTTTGTGCAGCACGTTCAGTTGAATAAATACCATACACGAAAGATTAAGTTAAGTCTTGCAGAAATTGAATTGATATGCAAACGAGTGTTCCTTGAATCGTTCAGCCCATTGCTCAAGACGACGATTTTATGAGTGAATCGCCGTTCCGTCTTTTTCCCATATTGTTTCGCTGACTATTGCATTCTTTTGACAGGTTGATCGGATCAACTGAAGTAAGGAGCAGCAACTGCCAGCAGAGAAAGTCTTCTAAACCTCCTGGACTTTCGAAATCTACCGGCGTTCTCTGTCATTCACCAAGCTCCTGATAGCCGGTGTTTGAGGGATCTGCATGAGCCAAGTTGCTGGTTGTTGGTATGGCCTAACTGGCAGAAATGAGATCTGCTGATCCCCATGATATCCAAGGTCCACATGGTCGAATCAGATGGCTTGGACAAACAGTTATGAAAGTTGGCAGCATATCTTCTTTAACCCGCTTCCATAAACCTGCAAGCCATTCCGGTCATCCGCATAATTGGGCGTTTCCAGTAGCTTTCTAGCCAGACCAACTCGATACGCTTGAGCCACTGAGGTTTGTCGAAGTTGATAAATGAAGGTGCTCTGCTTCGGCACGTATAGTGCTGGTGGAAAACAAAGTGATAACCGGGAATGCGCGATGACATGATCAGAGTCAAGCAGCGTACTCCAGAAGGAACGACTATCTTTTATTGACGCTCTCCATCGATAACTGATAGCCACATAATCCAACTGAGTTTATGAATGTCTTGAGGTTGGTGGATCCAAGCAGCTTAATGTGAGCGTTTGTATTGGAAGTCCCTACGGGCCAGGAAGAGACGACGATCGGTACACAACTGAAGCAGTCGTTCTCCGATATCCTTAAGCTCAGCATCGACTCCAAATCTACCACTTAATTGTGCTTAGTGGGCCAACTTGAGCATTCAAGTGCATCTTGCTGACCGAAGGAGTGATAGGTCCTTCTCATTCTCAAAACTGCTATCTGTCAGGGCATATGTTGATACAACAAATGAACAGCATTTGCCATATCGACTTGCGTTGATCTTAATTGAGCCAGATACACGAACAGCGCAAAGACGACTAATTACTGGGATCCAGTCCAGTAAGGCTCTTCCAGCCTTGAGGCTGAGTGCAACTCCCACACCGCACATACCACAAGAGATTGCGTTAAGATCACCAGACACCCGGAAAATGGAATGTGGAATATTTGAGCTAGTCCTAAGAGGCTTGGGGTACACGATCGAAGCGGGGTCTTGTATGCGTGTTTAGAAGACACAACATACACCGACAGATAGGGAAACAAGGTTTCAGCAAGAGGTGCTCGGTTCCCAATTCGATATACACTACAGACACTAAAAGCTGTAACGTGGACCAGATCTTTTGAGGTTAGTAAGTGATTATTTTGGCTTATCTTTTTGGGCAACTGTTCAAACGCGGGACATTGGTTAGGGGACTGATAGATGGGTTGGTGGTACTGCATCGTTCGATGAGTAGGGAAGGGGTTTAGCTAAAGACGGGTGAGCGAAGAGCTGCAAGGGTGAATGGTACTTCCGAAGAATGGGTTTTGGTTGGGATACCCAACCTTGAACCTTTGATCCAAAAGTCTAAACCACAAGGCAGCGGGAGGATGTAGAGTTTTGTTCAGGTACCATGCCCCTGGCCTTGGACTTGAAAGTCTGAACAGCGAAGTAGCTTTGTTAGGGATCTTTACCTGAGCAAATGGCTTAATTGCCTCACCCGAGGACGCTAAGCTAATAATCGTCAGCTCTTTGCGTTGCAGAACTTTTGGTAGGGCGAAGATACGGTCAACCGGTTCTCCATGGCTGTATGGCAATCAATTACCAGTTTCAACCAGTTTTCCACGACTGATATGTTGCTGTTTCTGATGGTGATAACAACCAACGCATCCAGGGCTCAGAGGTGACTCTGCTTGGCTTCAACCATTCCGCTTCTCGTGATTGCTAGTAAGCCTATATAGGATGATACCAGTGAGCAACCTAGAAGCGATGGTGACTGAACTGACACAACGATGATCCTTCAGTCACGCATTCAAATAATGATATGACACCTTTTTAAGGCAGTAACAACATAAGACATCTAACATTCCTTAAGCACTTCATTCGTTTTCAAAATGCCCTGCATGGGTTTTTTCGGAGTGAACCACTCCTTAAATATGGGAAGAGAAAAACAGTCCGTACCGGATGGCCTTTTTCTCTACAAAGGCTTGACTCCGTTTTTGACTTCACGTTTTACAAAGGCTGACTCCGTTTTTGACTTCACGTTTTGTTTGGACCCAACAGTCCGTGTCCCACTGTGAATTTGGTGGTGCGTCGATCGTTGATCCAGACGCCTCGGATCAACTAAATTGTCTTTCGAAATGTTCCACCTGATAAAAACAGGTAGTGGGACTTCAATTAGACTTTTGAACCGTTCCTCTCTCTATCCGTAGTGGCAGCTCGCCGACCGGCAGCTTTCTTAGTCCGGTGCCTCGGATAAGTGTGAACAGAGTTCGAACACTTTTAATCGCTCACACTGGAGACTGTGGGTCGGGCGTTACTCCAAGGCTCTAGATGAATTGTACTGTCACCCCGATATACCTGCCTTGCTCGTTTCGACCAGTGAGGTGGATTTCTACGGAACCTTACTTGAGTTGCGGTGTGGCTTCGCTTGGGGACGAACAAACGCCGAAGTAAGCATTTCTGATTTTCAACCAGTCTCGATCTCACTAGTTTCTGCTTGAATGATTATGGTTCGAGTTGTACCAAGTAACATGAAACCCGTGCCATTCTGTGCCCGCAACAGATACTTAGGACACACGTCGATCGCCACCACAAAGCCTGGGATTACCCACACATCGTGCACCGAGATGGATGTCACTCATAGGTATCCAGCCGGCCTAGTGATATCCGTACACTCTGTCATCTGCAAGGGTGCCGGCAAGCATAGGTCATTCGTCTAGATGCGGTTGCTTCAGACCGGTCGCCTTTCGCATTTGTTTCATCTGTCCTGGACCTTTCACAATATGATAAATCCGGCAACCTAGATGAAAACATGACTTGATGAGAGCTACCTGGAGGCTGTCCAGAGCTTTACACTGGCCGATCGTACAAACTGTTAGGCGAAGGTGGACGAGAGCTGATCATTTCCATAATCTGAGGGTAGAAAGGACCCAAAGTAGAATTCTTTCTGTATACGACGCTGAGCTTCATTTGCGTGAGCTCCCACATCCGCGCACCGAAAAGTGAAGATCCAATCAAGTATAGCAGAGGATGAACGCATTTAAACCTCTGGTATCGTTATGAGGTCTTATGAAAGTCAAAAAACCGAGTTGAAATGTTAGAATGAGACCATTAGCTTCGAGAAACCACATTTACGGCTCGAAACAAAGCTATGAACACAAATTCAGTGGTGAACAGGCGATCGCTTACCAAAAAAAGCACGCTTTGGCAAGATTAAAAAGTGATGACGGAAGAACTTACCGGAACTCGAACGGATAAGGTAGGTTCCTTTGGGATTACCAACCCGCAGCAGACGTTTGTCAGCCTCCCGGCGGCTAATATCATACCAAGCGTCAAGGCTTGTTGGTAGTCCATCATCTATCAACACATAGTTGCTAGGGATATAACCAGTTGCCCCGGTCTTCTGGTGACGGGCAAGCCACCACTGAGCAGATACATCGGACACGAACATGGTATCGCCTTTTCTGAATGGCAAGTCATCTTGATGCTGACCTGTATATGTATAGAGAGCTCTCACGCGAATTTGTTTAACCGGCGGCAATGATTGTGGGGGAGGGATTTGTACTATAGAATTTGGAAGCGTCGGTTGGTTGAGTTGTAGCGGGCCCTGCGGCGGTACAGATAACATCGTGGAGTTGGCCACACCAAATGCATACGGTTGGATAGGACCAGCATTTATGGTATTTATACAGACGGTTCCGGGGTTGGATAATGGTTCTGATACACCGTGCTGAGGGAAGGGCCTGTTGTTGTTGGAGCCGTTTTGATTGAAGGTGGCCTGAAGTGGAGTCAGTGTTTGTTTAGGTTTGGTTTTCTTAGTGATACACGCACAGTTCCCCATTTTCAAGGAGTGTGTCTAGGGAATAGTAAAACTCAGCATAAGTAAGCCCGAGAGCCACGACATTCCGACTGTAACCGGCCCACGGAATCAGCCTTCGGCCAGTTGCGCCACTAGACAAACTGGTCTGGTTGCTGAACTTTCATTGGTCCAAATTACAGGTGGTCAGGTCCGGTTAGCACGGGCAATGGAAGTTTGCAGAACGGCTGATTGTGATGGACGATGTATCCCACTTCCTGAGGAAAATCTCCGTACCGCGACGGAACAACAGGCATGTCAGCCAAGGTCTCAGAATGGAGTTTTCGGAAATATTAAAGTGCCGGGATCCATGAGTGAATAAGTATTGCTGGATGTGTGCCGTAATGTTGGGCAATTAGGAGAACGATTAGGTTTCTTTCAGAGTCACGATGAGATAAGCCATCGAGAGAGAAACCAATTGGAACACGTAGACTGTATGCCTAAATAGCGTGCCCGCAATTTGAATGAACCCGGAATTTGCAGGATATCTCGGCGCATCCACTGGCTCTAGCGTGACAAACATGCTCGTGCATATGGACAGCTTAACCCAAGCCAAGGACGAAGGACTCATATCGGATACCATATTTTTCGACTTCTCAAAAGCATTTGATAGGGTCCCACACGTCCCGCTGCTCCACAAACTCGAGTCTTACGGGATTCAAGGGAAAATCCTTCGCTGGATCAAGGCGTTCCTATCAGACAGATCATTCCGAGTGAGAATAGG